CACGATTAACAACGTCTTTCATGAGACGAAAGTACTGGCTGCTCGGCGGTATCAGAACCACTAAATCAAGACTTCGCCACTGTGTTAAATGTCGGCGACACAGCCCTTACCAAAATTATCAACTCATGGGAGACTTACCCTCAGCTAGATCGAATCTTTCCAGGAGTTTCTTTCATACAGGCGTTGATTACAGCGGTTTTGTATCCGTGAAGGCCAACAAGGGTCGTGGAGGCAAGACTACAAAGGGATATATCGTAGTTTTCGTCTGTATGGCCACAAAAGCGGTACATCTGGAACTGGCATCAGATTTAACAGCATCAGCGTTTTTAGCAGCGTTACGCCGCATGGCAGCAAGACGAGGAACTCCCGGACACGTCTACAGTGATCAAGGCCGCAATTTCATAGGAGCTAACAATATTTTGCAACGAGAGTATTCAGCGATTCAAGAAATATTCAGCCCAAACTTTATGTCGGAAGTTGCCAGTTTGGGAATTAAATGGCACTTTAATGCCCCCGCTTGGCCATCAGCGGGCGGCTTATGGGAAGCTGCGGTTAAGAGCTTAAAATATCATCTTAAGCGCGTGGTTGGCGAACAAGCGCATACTTTTGAAGAATACAGCACCCTACTTTCTCAACTGGAGGGATGTCTAAACTCGAGACCTCTATGTGCATTAACTGAAGATCCCAATGACTTAGACGTTCTAACACCTGCCCACTTTCTTTCAAGCGGTCCTACGTTGAACATCTACGATACCGAAACTGATTTAAGGACAAGGTGGTATTTAACTCAAAAAATTTTTTAACGATATTTGGGAAAGATGGCGCAACGAGTATTTAACCCAATTAGCAGCCAGAAGTAAATGGAGAAAACCGCAGCCAAATATCAAAGAGAATGACATCGTTATTATCAGGAACGAAAACCTTCCTCCGGGAAAGTGGCCCCTTGGCCGATTTGTGCAGCTACATCCGGGCAACGACGGGTACGTCAGAGTTGTCACTCTTAGAACCAAAAACGGAACTTTACAACGGCCAATCGTGAAGCATTCAATTTTACCGGTTGAGCAAAATCAAGAAGGGACAAGCAGTTCAACAGAAAAACAAAATCAAGAAAATGAAAATAAATCAATCCCTAAATCAAGCAGAAAAAAAAATATTGCTTAACATCAATTATTAAATCACTATTATTATTCTTTATTACAATCATCTCGACAGTACAATGCTCCTATAACATAACACCATTACAAAACAGCAGTCTCTATTTTGATACCCTCACAAACATGCATTTAATACGAGACGACTGGCGCCTCGTTGTCTACTATGACACATTCCCTTATCAAGAAGGTAATACGGCGCTAACAAAATATATAGAATACTTAAATAACATGTGTGTAATTATGAAGGTACGATCACATTGCGAAGAGATCTTATTGCAACTTCGGCACGAGTTAACGGAACTGCAATATTATAATAACATTTTAACTACTCAACATGATAATACGAGTACATTCGAGACTCACCCACGTCACAGTAAATATATAGTAGGAATTTATACTGTGCCCACGTCGCCGGCGCGGCTTGATCAATGGTGTAGGAAATATTGCTAATAGTTTATTCGGTATTTTAGATGAAAGTTTTGCAGAAAAATATGAAAAAGACATTGAACTTATCAGGCGAAATCAAAACCATTTAGCGACCCTATGGAAAAATCAAACGACTGTAGTGGAAGCGGAATTTAATCTATTAAAACGCATCGAAGAAATCATGGAGAAGAATCACAAGAATATTAACAGAAAATTTATAGCAATAGAAAATTCCGTAGATCAATTCAAGAGAGAGCTTCAGAATATGTCCTTCACGAGTGAATTTATCAGTACAGCCATGATGACAAGTAACCTTATAATCAGCCTCAGAAATATACAGCAAAATTTACTCGACACTATTACAAATATATACAACGGAAAATTTAGTTTCCACTTATTATCTCCCAATCAGTTAAAACTAGAACTGAACGCTATAGCTGGCCAGCTCCCGAAAGACCTATCATTACCAATAGATAACTATAATTTATATGAAATGTACAACTTACTGCAGGTGCGAGCTCGAATAAGGGGTAATTACATAAATTACATACAGTCGCTCCCATCTTATGGAATTGCTAAACATTACTTGTGATTTTAGTAATTCTATTAGAATGGAGCTGGGGACGGATAAGTGTGCGGTCCTCCATGTTGAAAGGGGAAGGGTTGCTAACTCTAAGGGCATAGACTTATCTATGCCCATCAGCATGAGGACACTTTCCGAAAAGTCCGCACTATAATGACGTCCCACAGGATGCATCATCCGAAATCGTCAGTAGCGTCAGCTTACCATACATAATCGCGAAGTGTGCAGCCTTCGTAAATACTTTCTGACGAGAGCGGATGATCCATACTATAGGGACGTTATTTCTTGTGATAAAGGGCTAACCCCTCTATCCTTAGCCAACGAGCAATGGCAAGACCCGGCAGTACAAAGCATTTCCGACCGGGATACCGTATGGAAGGAGAAGGAGCTCCATGGGAGGTTCTACAAGGCCCTTCATGAGCCTTTTGTAGACACAGTCACCTCCCTCCACTGGCTACGTTTCGGTGACCTCTTTGGGGAAACTGAGGGTTTTGTCTGTGCAATACAGGTCAGATGGACTGTGTGCTCGTTTGTCACCCTTATTCTATAAAAAAAATGTCAAATATCACCGTCTCAATTTTGTGCATAATGTTGCGCGCCACCATTAATGACTGGTACATGGTGACACTAGTTACCACTAGCGCCTTCTAGTATCGAGTAGCATAACTAGGAGAGTCAAGGTCCTTCTAGAAATATCCATAGAAGAACTTTCTAGAACTATCGACAACTAGTCAATCGGGACCGGTATGTACTCGAACATTCTAGATGTTTTTAGAGTAGAAGATTCTGGGACTATCTGAGGCCCTATATAAGGCCGGTATAGACCGCGACCGGAGTCATTGTTGAATTGGCGATACAAGCGAATACTTCGAAGCGATACAACCGCGAACTAAAGTGATCCGTAGTACAATTGTGTTTTGTTATCAGTGTGGTTTTAAGTTGTAATTAGTGTTCTGTAATTAAAGTGTCAATTTTGGTAATTCAGTCGGCAGTTTTTAATTGTCTCGAACCCGAAGCTCGTAACAATATCAGGATTATAATATACATGATTATATCTGTTCAATAAATTTAATATGCTGCTAAATAGCATTAAAGCCTTATTGCTATTTAGGAGCAGCTAGTTTCCGTTTGAACTAATTGCTATTTAAAAACATACTGTAACTGTTACATAGCAATAGACGTTTCTTCAAACAGTTTAAGCTTTTATCTTAAAATAGTCCTGATAAACTCCCTCACTGAAAATAAAATTAACCATAGATAATCAAGATATTGATTATCTTTGGTTGATTTTATACGGTAACGAATGAAATTGGTAACCGTTATTTTTGACGGAAACTTGTCGGCCGGCAGATTGTGGCTCCCATGGCAGGAGCAACAATCTACCGGCCGTTACCAATACAGCCTATCAAAAGTCCACTGCTGTACATAGGCCTCCCCCATAGATTGCGCCATATGAAGAATATTTGGCACTGTTGCCACGTTTAGCAAGCGGACTGGCAAACGCAGTTTTCTTTATTCAATTGCTATCAGTAAGATGCTGCTGCCCATTTCCTAGTTCGACTTCCCGACACACTGGGGATGATATTATGGGATAGTGAACATTCTTACACCGTCACTTAAAGGTTCTTGCGCCTGCATAATCGTTTAAATAATGGTTTACGATATACGTAAGAGTGGTGTGATTTTGTGTATTAAATATCTGCGCATGTTTACTTATGAGAGGAAACGATGTTACATGTGTTTTGATAGTGATATAAATCTTAAGTATTTCTTATCCGCTTGTGCGGCTTGCAGTGGTAGTTCAGATGGTTAGCGCTCGCTGTAAGCTTCATAGTATGCGAGCAACCCGGGTTCGATCCCCGCCAGCTCCAATGAAATTGTTAATTGCAATTTTAAGTGCTGATTAACCCCGTGCTCGGCGGTGAAGGAAAACATCGTGACGAAACCTGCATGTCCGAGAAATAAGAAAAAAGTTTCAGACATGTGAAGTTCGCAAACACGCATTGGGGCAGCGCGGCGGACATTTCCTTGCCCTAAAACCCTCTCAGAAATGAGAGGTCTGTGCTCAGCAGTGGAACGTAAATAGGCTGCAACTTTGGGCGGCTTGAGACACTATTGTCATCAAAAGTCCACTGGGTTAAACTGTCGTTAAAATCTCCCAAAACTTTGTGCGATGTGAATGAAATGCACACCAGACTAGGCCAACCATTTTAACATTGTTTAATATTTTAACATTGATTTTCATCTTTGCACCCTTGCATTTTTCCCAATACCTTTATTAATTTTAAACATGTGGTTACACAACAACAAATTAGTGCTGTTTTTTTATTAAAAGGCAAAAGCATCTATGCCTATACAGCCTAGTCGTCACATTGCGAAGTTTTTAGATTAGACAAGAGCTTAACCAATTGGCTAATAACGATAGCACATCAAAGCGTCTAAGCGATTAAAAATTTTCACATTTTAATGCACAAAATCACACCAATTTTACGCATCAAAATTTACTTCAAATCGTTATTAAACGATAACACAAGAACCGGTGATCAAGTTGCCACCAAAAATCCATATCCATTTAGTAACTAAAACTTGAAAATTAGTAAATTTGTTTTTTTTAATCATTGGACATTGGCCTCAGATCATTCAGCCTTCTTTTTTTATTTAGAGGTGAAATATAACGTCAATCGTCGGCGGTGATGGAGAACATGTGACAAAATCTGCATGACTAAGCACTTAAATAATGAAAGAAAACGTAAACTGATTAATTCATAATAGTCTCAGAAATGAAAGGAGCCCAGCGCTTCGACGTATATAAGCTGTAACTTAACTTGTATACTTACAACGATCTCTTGTCGAAGTATTTCAGCTTTTTGTTCGTAGAACTTGCGTCTTGATGCTGGTATGAAAAGTTTCGTCTTGTTTATGAGCGCGAAGCCCAATCCTTGCAGAGACCGCGTCGCACCACCGAATATGTGTTTTAAAAGTTCCACTATTAGGCTTTTGTCTCGCTGTTAAAAAACAAAATCTTTTCTAATCGGTTTCTAACATTTATGCATCGAATCGATAGATTAATTTTCCAAAATCAGAAAAATAGTGAAATAGTTACGAACACTGCGTTGGCTCGTTTTTTGTAGCTAGGAATACTTTCATATTTGGGTTGCGTTCACTAGTTACGAACAGTTTTAAAATTAACATACATATTGTCCTCCTTTTGACTAATTTACTAAATTTGTTGTTATTTGCCACTTAATTGAAAATTGTAGATAGAAATGACCAGTGATTCAAAAAGTTCATATTTTTTAACTAAAACTTTTAAAACTTAAAATATTTTTAAAATACTCACTTTTGGATTAGCAGGGTCCTGGAGTAAGTTAGGAATATCTTTCATGGAAAAGAATAATGATATCGACATCTCAAAGGAGTCCTCCAAGTCTTTGAACTTTTTCTGAAAGACCATAACATTTATCTTATTTTAAGGTTTCCAACGAGCAGAAACTAAATTATGTATATTATACCGTACATTGACTAACTTCATAATAAATAAGGCGTAGTATATTTTTCAAGAAAAAACCTTCTACTCAATTAAATACCTATCACAATTTATCACAATTTAAACAATCTCTCAGTAGTGCAATCTATTTTATTCGCGGATTTTTATCTGTGAAACATCATAGTTTATGTTAGAATTTATAATTAGTGAAAACCAATAAATAAATGTACACTTAAATAAATTAAAGAAAAAAAATTGAAATGGACACGCAGTACACAACTCACACAAAGATACAACGAAGTGTATTATGCTTTTTTATGTATGTGCGTAAGCAAACACATAAAAGTGTTCTAAAGGAGTGTGCACCCTGCAGCAGTGGATTAATTATTTATTTATTTGAATCTTTATTGCATCTCTTTTTAAAATAGGATTTAGAGGGCGTACTTTATGTCTATACACATTTTCTTTCCTGCCAGTTAGCCCATGGAGTGGTGAAAATTCGACGAGGTATTATATATAGTAAATATTAGATAGCCGATAGTTCGTAGTAGTATCAATAAAAATAAAAAAACTTAAAAATATTAAAATAATTACACATTTAAAATATACAACTATAATTATATTTATTTGTGAATATACACTTAAACACATAGAAACATATATATGCCTACTTTCAACAGTAGACTTGTGATGGACTATAGTGATGATGATGATGAGGAAGAAAGAGTATTACATCAGTATAAAGAGCATGTAGAAACAATAACAGTGGGTACCTCGCTAAGTTGCGCACCACATTCCTTGTGCAGGTACTGAACGCAATTTAATATGGCGTCCCTAATGCACTGCTCTACGGGGATGAAGGCCCAAGACTTGGACGCCTCTGTCATGTAAAATACCTGAAAATATATTTCTTTAATTATATAAATTCCTTTCGGGTTAGAGATATAATACTAAAATATTTTCATAATCTAGACTTATATAATCCTTTTCTATTCACTTAAAAACTACTCGCTGTCCTAGAGGCGAGTATTGCCTAACCTGTAACTTTTGAAAAAGTTATTCTGTGAGAATAAAAAAAAATTGTAATAAAAAATTAATCTAAATTTATTAAATAGCAGTTCTGATTCTGAGCCTTTAGTTTACGAATTAGAAGAGTTTTAACTATCAACCGATGCCGCATCACAGTTCGGTTCGGTTCGGTATCGTCGGCATTAGTATCGTTGACAAAAGAATAAAATTAAGAATATTAATTGTTCTTAACTTTTCCAAACGTTTATGTTTTATTTTTTCTTTCAAAAACTTGATTTGTACCGCAGCATCTTTCCGATAACATCACATTACATTATAAGATCCTATCAAAAGTCCATTGTTGAATATAGGGGGGAGGCCATAGGTTGCCTCATAGAGGGGAGATTTTCATAGTTGCCACGCTTGACTAGCAGGTTAATTAGCGCAGTTTTTTTTATTCAGCTATTGCTGGTTTAGCTTCCCTATGTCGCCTCTTACGACACTCACGTGATGATATGGGGTAGTACATCGCCACTACAAAGAATTGAATATAATAAAAACTTGTCAAATCGCAATTTTTTTTAAACTGGCTTTACGGCTCTGGGTTCTAGCCATTCTGAGTCTGAAGCTACAATGTATAATTATTCTTCATATTACACTGCTTCACAATATGTTGATGCGTCACATTGTGCAGCCCTTGGGAGATTTTGACGGCAACTTGAGCCAGCAGACAGCGGACAGTTGGCCATGGTAGATACCATGGCCAACTGTCCGCTTGGCGCCTAAGCAGACAGACACCTTATCTGGGAAATTACATAACCACCAGAGCACTTGTTTCACTAATATTTCACATACGCAGACACTTAATACACAAAATCGCACCGCTTTTACATATCAAAATCCACTTGAAACCATTGTTTAAATAATAATATAGGAGTAGCAATCCGCTGCCGATCTAGTTCCCGCCAAAACTCGCTTGCCAATCGCGGCAACTATTTAAAAATCCCCTGTGTGGGGGAGGCCTGTACTTATACCTGTAATGTTTTTGATTACTTTAATGAAGATTCTTGTGACGAAAAACCTTTTTGATTGTATCAAAATAAATGGCAGGTGGATTGGCGACAGCAGCCCATCGGTCAAGTTAAGATTATTATTTAAAAATTTTGAAGCATTTCAGTTATTCCTTTATTACAAAATCCCCGTGACAAAATTTGACTTGAATCGCTCATCAAAACCAAAATTATTTATCAATTCCAAATGAAAGTGTACCTTAATTTGAGATATGTCGACTGGTTGGTCCAAATTGAGCAAGTGCCTCTTTTCACCGGCCATGACGTTCATAAGCAAGGGGAGGTCTTCTGCGAATCGGCACATCGGCCCCACCGATAGAAATTTCGAAAACTTTTCGTCGGTGAGAGTTGGGACGTGACCGTCTATTGGTATAATGCCTAATGGGATGATAATACATGTAATTATTAAATTATTCATTAGTTAGGAAAGGTTTGGTTGCACTATCAGTGTCATAAAGATGACGGCCCTGTGGCGCAGTGGCTTAGCAATGAGTTGTTGCGCTGGGTGCTGCGGGTTCGAATCCCGCACGTAACAAGTATTTGTATGGTCTACAAATAATTGTTCCGGGTCTGGATGTTTGTTCTCGTGCAATTTGTGTTCGTAAACTGCCTCGACGATACAGGAGAAAATCCTAGTGTGGGTGTAACGTTTAAAAAAAAGATGATCATCAATACATACATACACTTGTCACCTAGAGGGGTAGTAAGTAGAAACTAGAAACTTTTGTTTGGCACGATCCTGATGCAACTTACTCGCTTCTTCCACATCCATATCTACGCATATATGTTTGTCGGTTTAAGGTACTCTCAATTCTGCCCACATTCAACATATTATCAAATTTGGTCGATAAACTCCCGCCTAGAGCGTCTCTTGACTCGACTCTGCCGCTAACTTTTGCAGCATAAATAACAAGGGCAGAAAAATAGTTGACAAAAATGATTGCGTCTAGAAATAACTTATGAGCTATAACGTATGAAATGAGTTTAATTATTTTCTATGATTTTTCAAATAAAAATGTATTTTAAATAAAGCCACAGAAAAAACATACATTTTTGGGAATATCAAATGACTTTAATCATTTTACACTATTCAAGTGTTGCCATTTACTATATTCATACCATTTTCGTATACACTTTGTAAGACTACTACCAACACAACACACAAAGAAAATATTTTTTATAGGAAGTTATTGTTAGTAATAACTGTACTATCAGTAATAATAAAAATAAAAGTGATATGGTTGAAAATAAGTCTCTTACAAAGAACTTCCTGTAATAATACATTATCTCAATCATAGTACTATGTAACAAATCCATTTATTGTTATGGCAATACTAGCTAAAACAAAATGTAACTGTATGGCACAAAGGCCCAGAAGCCATGTCAGAAATATACATTTACAGTATACAAATATTTAATAGAGATACAATAATCTAAATACTCTCAATTATGGAGGTAGTTACATTATGTTGAGAATATATTAAGCTAATCTCAAACAACCACAGGACGCATGACTTTTTCCAGGTGACAGAAGACATAACCGAAAAAGGTTCGAATCTAAATATCTTTTTTTGACGCCTTCTCAGGAAAAAATTCTTTGACAAAGTTGCTCAGGGACTAACGCTTAACATTTTAAGATATTTTTGATACATAGACGCTACCATTTCTTCTCAACTAAATTTATGTATAAGTCTGCCATTGTTCTTTGCTTTGTGCCTTCTTCCTCATTCATTCTTTCTACATGTCCAAACTACCGAAACCTTCCTCTTTGTTAATGATTTACATAATTATTATAAAAATTTGTAGTAAAGTATTTGTCACGCGGCGACAGAGTAAGGGGATTCACATATATCGCGTTCCTAATATTCTTCCATCATATATCGTCTTGCGAGTGTCGAAATATGCGACTATAGAAAATGCAGGAAGGCAGTATAACGGCTCCGTGGCGCAGTGGCTTAGCAATCAGTTGTTGCGCTGGGAGCCGCGAGTTCGAATCCCGCACGGAACAAGTATTTGTATGGCCTACAAATAATTGTTCCGGGTCTGGATGTTTGTCCTCGTGCAATTTATGTTTGTAAACTGCCTCCACAACACAGGAGAGAGTCCTAGTGTGGGGGTAACGTTTTTTAAAAGAAAACCGAAAAAATACAAAAACCATAATATCCGTTCCATTACGTTACAGCCTATTAAAATCCACTGCTTAACATAGGCCTTCCCCATAGATTGCTTCATAGGGGCGATATTTTCTATAGTTGCCACGCTTGGCAAGCGGGTTGGCAACCGCAGCTCTTTATTTTTAGTCGTTATTAAGAAAACGCTGCTGCCCATCTCCTGATTTGTTTCCCTCTGTCGCCTCTTACGACACCCACGGGGTGATATAGGGTAATGGATATTCTTACACCGCCATTACACAATAGACCATAATATCGTATATACCATATGTAAGGTACCCGGGCTGAAAACGGGAAGCACCATCAAAGGACCTTTGGTACTGCGATCATCAATCCGTCAGCCAAGCATGAGAGAAGAAGAATAGCGGCGCATGTCTATGTGTGGGTTGATAAAGAGATGAAAGGAAAGAATTAAAAGTAGTATAGTTTTTAACAGATGTTTTGCATGCGCAATGTGAAGTAGTTTAGCTATTTAATAATGGCGTAAGGTAAAGTATCTTGTATTTGCTACTCATGTGAAACACTCAGACCGGGGGCGGGGCTTACGGCAATGAATTGTGGCATCTGCTATTACTATAAATAATCTGACGGCAAAGCTAAGATTAGTGATTTCGGCATGTTATCTTTACTATGGGCGAGAGCCATGTCCTGCTGTAGATAGTCTACTGGTTAATAAGAAATGTGTTGTTTGCAATGTGTGAGCAGAGTACAGCAAAGTGTACATAATTTAGAGCACATTGTGTAGCAAAGTATATGTAGTGTGCAGCAATAGTAAACTAAGTAATCTGTGACTAATAATGAGCGAAAGTGCGTTTTGTGTAGCAAAGACTATGGTGTGTACTGTGTAGTAATATTTAGTGTGTAGTGTGAAGTGAAAGTGAGTTTTATGAATTAAAGCCTATGTAGTGTGCAGTCCGTGGTAGTATTTAGTGTGCAGTGTGAGGTGAAAATGCGCAGTGTGTATTGCGAAGTGTATTGTGAACAGAGAACAGTATAATGTGTACATACACAATTTGGTGCACATTGCGTAGCAAAGCCTGTGTAGTGTGTAGTGCGTAATAGTATTTAGTGAGCAGTGTGGAGTGAAAGTATGTAGTGTCTATTGTGAGCAAAGTACAGTATAAATTGTTAAAATTTGGTGTTCATTGTGTAGTAAAGCTTATGTAGTATGTAGTGCGTAGTGTTTATGGTGCAGCGGTCTGACCAGGCGTGGCCTTGTGGCCGAAGACCCCGCAGAAGGCGGCGGGGATGCGGATGGAGCCGGCGATGTCGGACGCCACGCTCAGCGGAGATGCGCCACTCGCCACTAGTGCTGCCTGGTACACAAACACTTCATTACACGAGAAACAGTATGCTATATACCTGCGAAGCTTTTTTCTTCGTTTGTTCGACCAGAGGAACCATGTTTCGAAAATAAAACGAAATTTCTAACTGATGTGTTCAATGTTCCAATGTCGTAGTTAACCACGGCTATCTTCAACTTAATAATTGTAAATGTTTAACATATTATGTTGTTGTTGTTCCAAATAAATTAAAAAATAGTGTTAATAATGAAATGTAACGAAATTGGAAATCGGTTTTTAAATTTTACCTAAACCACACTAGCGGAATTGCAGGTGCTTTTAAAATGAGTAGGCTCGTCTTGGAGGTCTCTAAATCGTATCGGCCTGGAAAAATTGCTGATGGAAGCTGATTCTACGATAACAAGTGAGCGGTTATGGGGGGTTTATGAGTGTCTTGAAATGGTTCATGTAAATATAGCGCGTTCTTTTCGGAACTTAGCTGACACACTGTTGTCTGTCTAGATTGAAAATACGAAGTCCATAGAAAAATAGTTTCTAGGACAAAACTTTCGTTCAAAAAATTTACTTAACAAAATAACTTTCAGTCGCAGTAAGTGGTTGAACCTGTATTTCTGGGTTTTCTATGATTTTTAGTGCGCTGTAAAGCGGGTCGTAATGCCGTAAGGTTAAAAGAAACGTTTTCTTTAAAAATAATATAGAATAAAACAATTAGTAGGTACGTGGTAGAGCCAAGCTGCAGCTATATTTATAATATAGTTGTAGCATGAATGGGTCGGCACGACCGGGGAAGGACCACGCTCTCACAGAATACCAGCGTAAAATAGCACCTTAATGCTGCTGTGTTTCGTATGGTGAGTGTAGGGAAGCGGAGATCCTTTTTACTGGAAAAGAGGCATTCCATCTTAGTCCTCAAGGCTGACAACGCATTTGTATTTTTATTCGCAAACGAGGATAGATGTAGATGTCTATGGGCCACAGCAACCACTTACCATCAGGTGGACTGTGTGCTCGTTTGTCGCCCTATTCTATAAAAAAAAAAATCAAGACATGGGGCCTTTAACAGTTAACAAGATGACTATCTCTAAACTTGCCAAACTCAAAATATTTAAACATATTACGGGGAACAGCGTTTGCAAATCTTTTGTGCCTATAGGCACTTATTTTCACTTAAGGCTCGATCGTTAAATGCATTTGTTTTATATTGTTTTGTAAAGAAATTTATGCAATGTTTTTCTGTAATATTAAAATAACTAGCTCTATTAAACTAACGGAGTTATTTGCATGCTAATTAACAAATAAACAACCATTTCTAAAAAAAGTGTCTGTGTATCTGTTTGTCGTTACTAATCTTCGGAGTGGCTTAATGGATTGTGATGAAACTTTATGAACAGCTAGAGAGCAATACTAGGTGAGATCTATATTTTATCCGAAAAACTTGAGGTTGTTTAAAAAAAAAACGAAAATTGCTAAAATAAATGGTCTTTGATTATCTTATAAATCAAAGACCATTCATCCAGACGAAGCCGGGGCGGGTTGCTTGTAACTAGATAATTCCCTTGAGAGGTTGCGAAACCTTTAAGTCCTTGCGTTAGCTCATAAGACCTTATTACGTATTTAACGCATTTGCCTCTATTTGTTTATTTCGTTTACGTTTTGATGGAAGATAAAGCAAACGGGAAAAATTACGGCCTTACCTATAAGGACCAAATTCAGTTTTTGATAATTTGTTTGAACATAACATTTAACAATAATATTATACAAATATTGTTTCTTTATATTATATAAAATATTAATTAATTCTTTTAATATATATAAATATTAACAAAGTTTTCTTAAGTGCGAGGGAAAACACATCAAAAATATCGCATACCAAATTTCTTTTTAAACAATGGTATTCGTTGCTCCGTTTGTAGCTAAAATATATCTGGGTTGCTAAAGCGAGAGCAAGCGATGTACAGTTGACCGTGTGAAAAACGCCGTATAAAAATAGTTGTTTCTTAAAACTTTAATAAATTTGTATTAAATGAAGATATCGCAATATATTTTTTTTTGATAAGGGCCATGTGTCAAAGAAATAAAACTTAGAAATCCTAATTGAAATCTACCCAATAGTTTTTCTTATATAGAACCTCACTATCATTTTATTTATTATATTATATATATATATATATATATATATATATATATTCTACGTGGTAGAGCCATGCTGCAGTTATATTATGGTTGTAGCACGAATGGGTCGGCTCGAACGTGGAAGGACCACGCTATCACAGAAAACCAGCGTAAAATAGCAGCTTAACGCTGCTGTGTTTCGTATGGTGAGTGTAGAGAACCGGAGTCCCTTTTTACTGGCAAAGAGGCATTCCATCTTAGTCCTCACACGTGACAACGCATCTGCATCTTGAGTCTTTATTGAGGATAGATGTAGATGTCTATGGGTCACAGTAACCACTTACCATCAGGTGGACTGCGTGTTCGTTTGTCACCCGATTCTATAAAAAAAATATAGAAGACAATAGAACCAGTTCCTAGAGATACTATAATATTCTAGAGAACCTAGAGTTTATTTTTATTAATGTATCATAAAGTAATATTATTATTGCAATGTTACAAAATGTCGGCTTAGATGGCAAGGATACACGTATCATCCAGAATCTATATTGGAATCAACGGGCTACTGTTCGGCTTAATAATGAAGGGACGGCGGATATTGAAATTAAAAGAGTAGTCCCACGGGGCTGTATTTTGTCACCTACGCTATTTAAGTTGTACTCGGAAACCATAATAGCAGAAGCAGTCGAGAACGTTAGACTGTGGATTCAAAACAAACGACCGGAACAAAATAATATTAGATATGCGGACGATGGCGTCATCTGCTGAAGATATACAGAGAATTGTCATCAGAGTAAATGAGTGCAATGAAAGAGCTGGTCTTAGGATGAACATTTTGAAGACGACGCTCATGGTCATATCTAAGAATATTATTGACAACTTTGACTTCACAGTAGCAATCCCATAATTAGAGAGAGTGCGCAAATATAAATATTTAGGTAAGTACGTGGTTAAACGAGACGTGGAGCATCGACCAGGAAACTATGACCCGAATTAAAGTGGTTCGAAGCACCTTAATAAAATTTAAAAAAAAAAAAACTGAACCGCAGACTTAAGATATTTGTGCACTCGACTACTATGCTGTTAGACCTGGCACACTTCTATACGGAGATGAGGCGTTGAAGATTAAAGAGGACCTCCGAAACCGTATAGAAGCTTTCGAGATGTAGGCATGCAGACGTATGTTGGCTATTAACTGGACACAGAGTCACGAATGTGAAAGTTCTGCAACGGGTCGACCAAAAACTCGAACTTATACAACTCATCACCGGGAGTGGACGGGAATCGCGAATGTCGCTGAACTGTTTCGCCTCGCGAAGAATAGAGCGGAGTTCACTAAGCTGACTGCTGACCTTCGCTAGTCGGAGAGGCACCAGGAGGGGAAGATTACTTAATATAATGTTGTAATAACCTATTTATAGTTTGTGTTTAATTAAATTTTTAAATTAGTTTATTTTCAAACAGCGCGTGAATATTTTCTGAGATTTTGTTGTAAAAGTGTATGTTTTATGTTTGCATTGCTTCATAAATGAATTCTGCGAGTAACTAATTGAGTGAAAATATAACTTAAATTAAAAAATTTAATAACCCCACGAAACAAAAAGACCTGATGATCTTCAAACAGCTGAACAGATTTTTTTGGAAAATACCTAAGAACACTCGATTAAGACACCTTTCAAGCGTACTTGTATATACAGGGTTATTTTGCAATAACCAGCCAAATTTGCAAAGAAGGTGCAGAATAAGTAATATAGGCAAATGGTGAAGAAAAATTAATTAAAAAAAAATCTAAAACATTCTTTCCTTTTTTTCTTTTAAATTTAATCTGCGTGGTAATGCATTATTTTAACTGAATGTCATTCATAAATATCTAACGTCTACTATTTTAATATGCACATTGTCGATCGGTCGGCAAAAACGTTGTGAATTGAATCGCTTACTCATATTATTGTCGCTCATAAATCACATTCAATTTGGGATAATTTTCAATGAAAGATTTTTGCTTTGCTTTATTTACTCATATTTACAAAAGTGCAATAAGGGTATATTATTATATATACATTTGAACTTAAGTTTAAAATTTGGCTACTCATTTAAAAAACAACCCTCTATAGAGGTCACTGCATTTAAAAAAAAACTTAATAAAAACCGGTGAGGCAATCTAGATACCACAGACAGACATACAGAGATACACTACTAACTTAGAACACACTTCTGTTTTCGTCGGAGATTAAAAAAAAAACTGTAGTTGCCAACCCGCCTGAGCATATGGCAACTGTGGCAAATAGAGACCTACGTCCAGCAGTGGACTTTGATACACTATTATTTTATTATAATACCGTCGTCTATAAACTGTGAGAAGCCTTCTACAATCGTTTTCGACTCTGAATAAAACCAATTTAAAATAGATTTAGTTTTGTTACCGCAAGTTGTCAAGGTTCAACGACCGAACTTATGAATTAAGTACACTATAATCTATCATAGTGCGATGTTTGACAGGCGTACTTGTATATATAGAGTTAGTGTTGACAGTACATACACAGAATTACTAGAATTCTTATATGCGTAAACTCTGATGATGTCATAGTGACAAAGCGTTGTTTTGGTTACAACACATAGAAATTGTGCCTCAAACATTCTAAAATATGGATACATCAATATTTTTGTATTTTTAGAGTGATTGTTACCATGTTTTTTACTGATTTTATATTTTTCGAGATATATTTAGAAAATGAGGATATGGTAAGGGACGGAATTTTTGGCTATAGCGGCCACGGACGGCTGCAACCAGCAACCCAAAATACGTCACCATGACAGTTGATAGTTTCCAACAGTACTTAGAAGATATGTGAATAAGCCAGAAGATCGATGAGAATTCCTTTCTGGGGGAGAAGATGTAA